CATTGAGGGTGTGTGGGGAGGGGAGAGGGGGAGACTGTTGTTTAAGAAAAAAGTGATCAGCCAGGTGGTGTGGATGATGGAGGGAGAAATCTTTTCTCAGGTTGTAAATGTGGATGGTTGGTGGGTGCTCTGGTGTGGTTTGCTCCTTCTTTCCTCTATCTAGCTTCTATCGTCGTTATCTCTACTCTCCTCCTTCTTTTTTGTTTGTTACTCTTGTAACACCTCTATTCTTCGGCACTTACGTGACCTTGTTGTGTTGCAAGTGCCCTAAAACTCTTGCTAAAACTAAAATCTAAAGGTTGTAAATCACTGATGCCGTGCCGTGGGACATATGATCATGTTTAAATGCCTCTTACAAGATCAAAGGCTTCCTACACATTGAAAGTGTTGTACTGAAAGGATCCGGCAAGGGTGAGCGTTTCAAATTGCCCCCTGGAAGATCAGTTCCTGGTTTATGAGACATGGTTTTTTTTTTTTTTCAAAAAAAGAAATGTTTTTGAACAATATCCTGATCATCATCACCCAGTGCCAGATCTGCGACTGACATGTGCGATCATGGTTCTCCTTTCTTTCCTTTGCTCGGATGCTCTTAAAAAAGCTACGTTTCCCTGACCTTTCCCTGTTACCCGTTTGTTTAGGTTCCCTAAGTATGTTCTTCTGGGCCTACCCCTGCCTCGCTGGCCTTCAATTTTGCCAGTGAGAGCTTGATGTTCAAGGGCTTTATGTCTATGCAGGTGTTCCAAAAACTGTATTTGTCGTTTCCTAATTGTTTTTAACAATGAGTGTTCCACGTGGGCTTCATCAAGCACTACTTATTTGATTTCTTTTCCTTCCACGATATTCTCTGCAGTTTCCTAAGAAACCACATTTCTGTTGCTTCTATTTTATTTTCACTATCTTTAGTGATTATCCAGCATTCACAGCCATATAGAAGGGTTGACCATGCATAGCATTTCAGAACTTTCATTTTGGTAGTCATTGAAATGTTTCTATTTTTCAGGATTGGGCTCATTAACACTTTGCAGTTACTTAGCGCAATAATGTGCTGGTGAAAATTATCCGTTCCGGTCACCAGGCGCAGTTCTGGGCCAGGCCCGAGAAGTCTGTTGTTGTCGCTCTCCTGGCTTGGTGACCAGATGGGGTATTTTGCACTGCTGGCTGTGTGACTGCAAACTGTTAAATATCCTGATGCTTTTTTTCTATTTTGAAAAGTATCCAGTATTCTAGGTGGTATTTCAGAGCAGTCTTGACAACTTGTTCTACACTAACTTAGAATAAAACTGCTTGTGTCTGTAGTACTATCGTTAGGCTTTTCCCTGGTGCAGGCAAAGGACATCAGTCCTGTTTCTGAGCTGGGAAGTCAATTGAATCAAGTATTTGTGTCACGACGCGGTGGAATCAGGTGCTCGTCAACTTTTGAGCATGGAGACTTATTGGTATCATCTCAAAGCTTGTTCATTTATCTTGATTTCAATGAATGAATTTCCCTTCTTTCTTCAATAGAAGTCAATATAATTCGGATTGAAGAAGATGGGGGTAACCTGGTTTCAGAGGTAAAACTAGCGAAAAAACAGCTGCTAAATTTTGGTGACTTCCAAAGCTTGAGGGTACTTAAAAACTGCAAATCTGCATTTTCTGTGCCTTTAATCAACATTTTTTCAGTAAAATCAACACTGAAACGCGTTTTTGAACAGACCTTAAAGGTGTTAAGACAAAAATCCTAAATTCAATAAAAGTTGCCAAACGGGCAGAAAAATGCTGTTTTCTTCAATTTCATTATTTTGACTAGCGCCTGATTTCACCTCGCTGCCTCACATTTTGTCTTATATCTTAGTCTTTGTTCTGGGCTACCATCATATCCCTCTTGGCCCAGGTTGACCCTGACATGCTGGATAAAAGCAGCCACCTCCTTAGTGATTTAGATGATCCTGATGACGGTCGCGACCCCAGTGCTTTCTTGTGGAGTCTCCATTTTTAATAACAGTGAAAACAGTTCATAACAAAGAGTGAGCTTAAGAAGATGTCACATTTTCACTGTTAAGAAATATGGAGATACAACAAGAAAGCACTGTGGTCGCGCGGTGTAAAAAGTTTTTGATATTTGGACGGAAATTCAGAATGTCTACGTCTATTTCCAGAACAAAGTTCGGCAAGAGCCGGCAGTGATCATGGGTGGAGACATGGACTTGTCCGCCAAACTTCTACATCTGGAGACAGAAGTCACCGCAAAGAAAGGGGAGATCAACGCCTTGCGGGAGCAGGTGAGAGATATAATCATTTTTTAGGTTAAAAGTTTGCTCCTGAACAAGTTTGAACTTTGTCTGTGGTCTTTTGTAGTATACATGGCATTCAGTTCCAGATTGTTGTCATTGCTTTTATTTTTTCACAAAGCATTAAGTGTAGTGCAGACCAGCCATGTCTGAAGTTTTACAGTATTTTCCAATGGCTGGAGTAGAGGAAGGAGGGGATGGTTTGCTCCTTCTTTCCTATCAAACATCTGTCGTCTTTATCTCCACTCCTTCTTTTTTGTGTATGTTACTCTCTTGTAACACGTAATCTATTCTTCGGCACTTATATGACCTTATTGTGTTGCAAGTGCCGTAAAACTCTTACTAAAACTACTAAAACTAAGGAGGGGATGGTTTTTATGTGTAGATGGGGAAATAATGTCATCGCATGTAAGGGGGGATTGGCGAAGTCATGGTAGTTATGGGGGGATGGAGGAGGAGGAGGAGGAGGAGGGGATGTTTATTTCCTTCAAACCCAGCGGGGAGCTAAGGACATTCCCTTAACTCTATAAACCCCATCGGACACTGGGAGCATCAGATACTAGTGGCAACTGATTCGTTTGATTTAGTGCTAGTTTTTGCTTGTTTTTCGGAACTATTCCCGAACAAAGCTTTTATGACTTAACCTTTGTTTCTGTCATTTACAAGTTGGAGGCAAGCTTTTGAGGTTATAATGAAACATAGTGCAACAGGTTTAAGTGACTGTTAAAATTTAACCAAAAAAACTGCGGGGAAACGGTTGAAAAAACTAAGGGTTTAAAGAGTTAATCTGACCTCTGACCTCTGTCTCCCTGTCCAGCTGAGCAAGCTGCAGAGTGACCGGTCGAGCAGCCCGCAGCTGTTGCGTCAGGAGCTGGCGGAGCGCGTGAAGGAAGTGACACAGCTGAGGACGGAGCTGGAGCGGGTGAAGAAGGACAAGAACATCACCTCGGGCCTGGTCACGCAGATGCAGCGGGACATGTCGAATAAAGTAGGTCACTTGTGTTGTCTGCTCCTTCCTGCCCCCCTGGGGTCTGTGTCCTGGTTGGTCAAGAATCTTTTTTTTTTCCAGTTGTGTTTTTATTAACTGTTTTAGGTGTGTGTTTTTGTTTTGTTTTGTTATTTGTTGTTTGTATGATTTAATTGTTGTTGACAGCTGTGAAGATTCTTGTACTTCTTGGAGGTAGAGTGGATGGTTGGCGGGTTCTCTGGTGTGGTTTGCTTTTTCTTTCCTATCGACCATCTATCGTCTTTATCTCCCCACCTTTTTTTTTTGTGTTTGTTACTCTCTTGTAACACCTCTAATCTTCGGCGCTTATACAATGACCTTATTGTGTTGCAAGTGCCTTAAAACTCTTACTAAAACTACAAAACTTAGGTGTGTGTTTTTTTTGTTTGTTTTGGTATTTGTTGTTTGTATCATTTGATTGTTGTTGACAGCCATGAAGATTCTTGTGCCTCTTGTAGGTAGACGTCTGTCCCTCTGTCTGTCCTTCTGTTAGATTGGCTTGGCTCTGTCCATCTGACTCCATTCCTAAGTCACTCTAGGTCTATGGCCGAATGCCTCAGTCATTCTAGGTCTATGGCTGTATATCTCAGTCACTCTATGTCTAGTCATTCTAAGTCTATGGCTGTATATATATCACTTACTCTATGTCTGTGGCTAACTCTGTGGCATCCTACGGGCTCTCTGTAGTTTCTTTCTCCTCTCACCACCACACAGAATAGCACACATAAGCACACACACACACACAAACACACACACACACACACACACACACAAGCACACACATTGACACACACATAAACACACACTGACATACACACACTCACATAAACGCACAAATATAAACACACAGACATAAATTCACATGTAAACTCTCACATACAGGCGTGCGTGTGTGCTCAACGGAAGTGCATGCATACACATTCACTGGCACAAATACACATGTGTACATTCTTACACACACACACACACACACGCATATGTATGTGCACATGCACACACACACTCACTCGTACACACACACACTCACTCACACACACACACACATACACACACACACACACACACGCGCGCGCATGGACGCATGGAAAAGACACAGGTTCATAAACTTCTTGAACTTCTTTCGGCTCTGTATCTTTGTGCTTTCTCGAGTGGGTCTTTACTTACTTTTTCTTCTTTTAGTGTGATACTTTCTCTCCCTTTCTCTGCTCTTTCATTCCCTCTCTCTCTTTTTCACTCACACGCTGTTGTGATAAAACCCCTTACCATTTCAGTGAAAAGGCCAACTTCATCCCTGGATAGTTTTTGGCAATAATTGTCTTCTATTCAGTTCAGGATTCATGTTTTGTGCATTGATCATTTCATTATGACCTTTCTGCTTGATTTTGCTGTGCTTGAATTCCTTCCCAGTATCTCCCCTCCCCCCACCCATTCCCCCCTCCCCCCAATCAGTGTTCCTTCACTCCCCTCACAACACT